GTGTGTGTGTGAGTGTGTGTGTATGTATGTATGTGTGTGTGTGTATGTGTGTGTATTATATATGTAAATATATATATATATATATATCAAAGGTGTGAGAAGAGAGAAGAGAGGGGGGAGGAGCGGGGAAATGTCAGATTAGGTGGAATCGACAATACTCGTTTGCAGCAGGGGGTAGTTAACTAATAAAAATAGTATCAAAATACGCTGATAAATCCGACAAAAGATCACTATTTACCGACGCCTGAAACCGAGCTTAGCTCACTTCGCCCTCTTGTTGACAGGGAGTATCCTACAGCTTTATTATGTTTATTGGGGTTTTACATAGCCTACAAAAAAAAACGAGCTAAATATGATTTTTGATTTTTAGGACAGACCACTCGACACGAAAACGGTAAACATAACGTATATAATATCGTATTGTAAACGTTTGAACGTGCATCGTTTTGAAGTCAGGGGCCCAGCCGCTCAAACCCAGCCCCCAGGGCAGCCGGGCAGGGGCCACTATGCCGGTTTGGCGGCCGGAGTAAATACTATATTTTTTTTTAAACTCTAGAGAGTGAGGGTCTGTGTGTGCAATGTGTATTTTAAAAAAAACAAAATTACTAAACATGTAGTAAATAGAGTGCGGCCAGAAAGAATGCAGGAATGTTTTTCTCAAAAATATTTAAAAGCCGTACTTACTTCAGATTCGTGGTCTGTACCAAATTTGGAACCGTCTCGCTATATAATTGGTCCGATTTGTTAAAACAAGCCTACAAAATAGGATTAAATCAAGAAACCTCATCGAAATCCATACACATAACTCGTATAGCACCCCAGGAAGATTCCTTGACCAATGGAACCAACAGATTGTTCCAAGATAAAATACACGCTTCAATAACTCAACATTTAAGTCCTAAATCCCAGATAACGACCACAATAGCAATATCATCATTGAATTTGGGTTCAATTGGACCTTGCGTATTGTATCTATAAATACCATATGCGGGGCTGCCAAGAGACATCACTATCTATAATAATAAAAACGATAAGAGTCCCCCAGGGGCCCCAGGCTCAGCCTCCCAGGGCCCCGCCCCCACGTCCCACGATATATATTCCCAACAACCAACAAGAGGCGAATAAAAAAAAAATCAACGAAAGAAGTGATCCAATTGTACAATTCCTGAAATAGGCATAGCAATCTGTCTTTTAAAAAAAAATAACTGAATATAACACTTGCTATCTGATTAGTTCTTGTACTAATTGTGTGTTTTGTTTTAAATCTATCGTTATCGAGTCAAGGCTAATCACTATAATTGGGAATAATGAAAATAGTTTACTACATTCATATCGTTGTTTATCATATGTTCCGTATTAAATTACTCTGGGGAATTTAACCTTATCGAAAGTATTAAAGAAAAAGTTGGAAAAAACAAAACAGGGCACAGGGCACACAGGGGAGGACAACTGCGCCCCTCTATTTAAATACTTACTCCCCTGTGAGAGAGATAACAATTTTGATATTTATGGTTAAAAATTAGTAATAAAACTATTAGGAATTAGGGCTATTATCCCGTGACCGGTTCTGATAGTTGCGGTCCGAAAGCCCAAACTTCGGGTCCGAAAACGGATGAAAAAACAGTGCGCAGCATTCGCAGTGGGTCGCTCCGTTTAGTAAACACTATCAAAGGTGTGAGAAGACTAGCTTGCCCCGCAGACAACCACATAGTAGGTGTGTGCAGTATGGTTTGGTTGTGGGTCTGGTAGTGTGAATCGTCTCACGGTTGTTATGCTAGTGTCTGTGCCATGCGCTATGTAGCGAGCTATCAACACCGTTTCATAGTCTGGATAGCTTCTTCTGCTATCAAGCGTGTTGCGCCTGTATGCTTATCTGCTGGTTTTTTGCCCTTATGACTGCATGTTGCCTGCGTTTGTGCGGATCGTGTGTGCAGAAAGTGTGCGCAATGCGAGTCTATTACGTGTACATGGGTCTAGATATGCATGATAGTTTAGTTCTAAAGTGCTCTTTGTATACCCAAAGGGTGTACCTTTTGTGAAAGTTTACGTTGTTCAAGTTTGCATCCATAGGCGTTTAGTGCGTGTTCGTGCAGCTTGCTTTTATTTAACATTACAAGTTTGCAAAACTATACATAATGACGCTCTTAAAACCGCGATCAAGTAAAACCCTCCCGAAGAAACTAGCAGAGTTTGCTTAGTTATGACAGAGCCTGCTTGATATTTGTTTCTATGTACCTCGACTACGTCGTTGTACACATCGAACCCCAAACTAATTCCAATTGCTGGCTGGTTGTTGTTTTCATATCAGATTCCCTTTCATAGCCTCTGGAAGAAAGCAAATAATAAAACATGTCAAGCATTCAGCACACGCAAGACCAAGTCGACGAGGTCGTCGACATCATGAAGGACAATGTCAACAAAGTACTCGAGCGTGACCAAAAGCTCACTGAGATTGAGGACCGATCAGGTATAAAATATATCAAACGAAGTACAGCAAATGAATCACGCCAATTGTTTACTTAAATGCATTATATCAATTAATCGCAACAGTGAATTGCACTTTTTAATTCGTGCTCAGTAGATATTTACTGCTATCAATGCTATAGACGTCAGTCGGTGAATCTATCGCTGTAGGCAGTATTGAATACCGGGAAACAGTGCATAGCTGTGTACATGTGCATAGATGGAAAGCCTCCTAGTGTAGTCGTGTTTAACCTCACGTATAGCTTCTCATTCTTGGAATTGTCATCGACATATTGAATGTATTGGGAGTGCTTCGCCTGGACTATCTAACCTGAACCAACCCACATACAAATTGCCTTACAAGGTGGATTTTCTTCACTAACACGTATACTATACCGTATCAAACTCTCACACAGACGCATTAAAAGATGGAGCCTCCAGGTTCCAGAAGACCTCAGGACAGGTGAAGAGCAAGATGTGGTGGAAGAACCTCAAATGGACTCTATTGATCATCGCGCTAATCGTCATTGTTATTATCGTCATTCTTTGTAAGTCTACGCATGTTCGAAGTGGATTATATATGCATATTTGTACACACGCACATATAGTCACAAATACACTTTTATATATATATATATAGGCATGAATATATGTAGGCGTGGGTGACTTTTCTGTGTATCTCGCTTCTATGTCATGGGTGTTTTCGTGGTCAGTAGTGGTTCACCATATGATCGATTTGAGTACAAAAAAATAACTCTCGTTTACAATTTTTTGATTTCTCATTCTACACTTTGCATGTTTGCGTATGTGTCTAAGTTCGCAACGAAACCTGTACACGTGGCTTGTCATCTACTATCGAATGTTGACAGTTTGCTGTATCCACCGCAGTTTGTGGAGTGACTGGTGTGTCATCTATCGCGTGTTGACAGTTTGTTGTATCCACCGCAGTTTGTGGAGTGATTGATTGTGTGGTAGTGCACCGTATAACTTGTACTGTTTGGATATAGAAGGGCTATGATTACATTTTATTCTAGGACTAGAGTTTCTGAATCAAATTGTGACGCTAAAAAAGTATGAGCTGTTCTGGTCCCCATGTTGTGCATCATTTGGGGTGTGTGCTGATATTGTGCTTGATTTGAAGTGTGTGTTGTTTGCATGCACATGCGCTTGTGTGCAATTTCCTATCGTACATCGAGTAGTAAAGCAATGTTGGAACTCATTTGCCTTCGTTATTTATTTTGAACTGCAGTGATCACCAAGCCATGGGAGTAAACACCTGACCACCCGGAATATATAGAAGGCTGAAACGAAGCTGCGCAATACCTATTAAACCGTTTCGGACCAAACGACGTGTGATTTATCCAATTAAAACGTATCCTACACATGTTACACTTGCTTTGTCATAAGTAGCTTATCTGATATGCTTTGGGTGGGAAGACATGCTTCACTGTATATCTACGCTGGTCCGATTCTTGAAGTTGCTCCCCTTTGTGTGCCTGTAAAACGCTGTGCTAGCTCAGAATACTGCACTTATTATGTATTTGTAGTTTTTCTGATTTTGACTGAGGGTTTAAGTGTAGGTTTGATTATAGGACAGGTTTATATAGGCACCCAACTTTAAGGTGCTAAAACATATCAGTACCATCAATTTTTATGGTACTGGTTTGTACTCAATATTATATTATTGTGTATATACTTTATGGTACTAGTTTGTACTGAATATTTTACTATTGTTTGTATGTAACAATATGTAAAGTATAGTATATATAAGTGTGTATGTATATATATATAAAACATATATACATACATACATACATAGGGATTTAATTTATAGATACAGATTTAGATTTAATTTATAGATATATTTATATTTAATAGTAAGTATATACATATATATAAATTATGGTCTGTATGTGTATGTTTACATATATAAATATCTATATATTAATATATACATATAATTGTTTGTGTGTTTGTTTGTGCCTGTGTGTATGTGTCTGTATATGTATATATATATATATGTGTGTGTGTGTGTATCTATATATATATATATATGCGCGTGAGTATGTGTGTATGACATATATGTACACACATATATGTATATTAATAAATTATACATAAATATATATATATATATATATACATATGTATTTACACATATATATATGTATATATACATATAAATATATATCTATATCTAAATCTATATCTATATTTATCCTT